GTGCACCGAGATAGAGCTATTTCATTGTACAGTACACTGTACACTGTACAGACGAGCAGCACGCCATGTCCTCGCACGAGGTGCACCGAGATAGAGCTATTTCATTGTACAGTACACTGTACACTGTACAGACGAGCAGCACGCCATGTCCTCGCACGAGGTGCACCGAGATAGAGCTATTTCATTGTACAGTACACTGTACACTGTACAGACGAGCAGCACGCCATGTCCTCGCACGAGGTGCACCGAGATAGAGCTATTTCATTGTACAGTACACTGTACACTGTACAGACGAGCAGCACGCCATGTCCTCGCACGAGGTGCACCGAGATAGAGCTATTTCATTGTACAGTACACTGTACACTGTACAGACGAGCAGCACGCCATGTCCTCGCACGAGGTGCACCGAGATAGAGCTATTTCATTGTACAGTACACTGTACACTGTGCAGACGAGCAACACGTCATGTCCTCACACGAGCTGCAAAGTGCATTGATGCTGATGGTGGAATTTTCGGAAATGTGTTACACTAGGTAAACTGCACCAACTTTGTCACTTGAACAGTTAACACCGGCATTAGAAACAGCACGCAATATCTCTTTCTTATCAACAGTTTTGGAACTCGGAAACCGTTCGGAATAGGACACGTGCACATATACACGTTGTTTGCTTAGAATGACCGATACTGTGACCTCCAAGAATATTGACCTTTCATCCTGGGACACCCTGTATATTAAATATGACAAGCTTAACTTAATGCAACACAGATACATATATGAGCGATCTACATGAGATCATGATTGGCGTAATATGATAACTAATGTAAAACAAGTGAATGAAATGATACAATTACCAATCGGCTACTTGGCAGGGGATCAACATATTCCCACGCACACATTCCTTCAACTGTTTCACAGCACACACGCAAGTAGGAGCACTCCACCGGTACCACCGGGTGTTTCAAACAGAGTTATTCTCTATGCAGAACAATACGACTAGGATTACCAAATTTTCTGATACAGCAATCCCATAAAATAATTCAAATTTGCGCTAACCAAATCCCTTCCATGATGTAAGAATACGGTGCCAGTGGAAGCTAAATACCTTTACAGCCTCTCTGCACCTACAGTAAGCTATAAAATATTCCTGTACAGTCACGAAAACTGCAGTTCTGCACACTGTTGCAGGTCCCTATCAGACTGTACGGTGATAGCAGGAACCTAAATAGCTTTACAGCCTCTCTACACCTACAGTAAGCTGTAAAATGTTCCTGTACAGTCACGAAAACTGCAGTTGTGCACACTGTTGCAGGTCCCTATCAGGCTGTACGGTGGCAGCAGGAACCTTAAATAGCTTTACAGCCTCTCTACACCTACAGTAAGCTGTAAAATGTTCCTGTACAGTCACGAAAACTGCAGTTCTGCACACCTATCAGTCTGTACGGTGACAGCAGGAACCTAAATAGCTTTACAGCCTCTCTGCACCTACAGTAAGCTATAAAATGTTCCTGTACAGTCACGAAAAGTGCAGATCTCCACATGCTGCAGGTCCCTATCAGGCTGTACGGTGGCAGCAGGAACCTAAATAGCTTTACAGCGTCTCTGCACTTACAGTAAGCTGTAAAATGTTCCTGTACAGCCATGAAAAGTGCAGTTCTGCACACGGTTGCAGGTCCCTATCAGACTGTACGGTGACAGCAGGAACCTAAATAGCTTTACAGCCTCTCTGCACTTACAGTAAGCTGTAAAATGTTCCTGTACAGTCACGAAAGTGCAGTTCTGAGCGTTGTTGCAGGTCCCTATCAGGCTGTACGGTGACAGCAGGAACCTAAATAGCTTTACAGCCCCTCTACACCTACAGTAAGCTGTAAAATGTTCCTGTACAGTCACGAAAAGTGCAGTTCTGCACACTGTTGCAGGTCCCTATCAGGCTGTACGGTGACAGCAGGAACCTAAATAGCTTTACAGCCTCTCTACACCTACAGTAAGCAATAAAATGTTTCTCTACAGTCACGAAAATTCGAGAAACGTTTGCCGAGTTGCAGCCACATTTTCGCAAGGCATATATGCTTACTCTTACTGACTTGTCGAACTGCGCGTGAATACAGTTATACGTACTTAAGTAGTTATGAGAATTTGTCTATTCTCCTCGAAGTAGGGTTCGCGACTCACAATTTTATAAACCATGCCTAATGTTTCTTTATGTCTACTTTTTCTCCAACGACTTCTCTTATAAATTCAACCTGAGACATCAACAGTGCGGGCCTACATTTCAATATTATCAGCAATAAGTGTCCCAAACGACATGTCCACGAACATGCACATGATCCAATCAAGCAGAACGAGATGGGTGGGGCGTGTAGAACGTTTAAGATAGAAAAGAACTGCATACAAAGCTTTGCTCGAAAAAAAAACTTAAGGACAGATACAATTCGGGAAACCTAGGTGTAAATGGGAAAATAATATTAAAATGGATATTGAAATTTGGCTGGATCGTGTGGACTCGATTCTCGTAAGTCAGAACAAGGATCAGTGGCGGACTCTATTCACTGAATGTGATGAATGTGACAAATTGATCAACTATCAGCTTCTAAAGGCGTAAATCTGCACGGCCTATGTACATATACAATGAACTGAGTCTTGACTTTGGGAATCTCGAGGCAGTGACCATGAATAATGTAGTGTGGTGAAAGTCTAGTGATGTTTCGGAAGGACGTAATGCCACCATCTTCAGGGTCAAGGAGCAATCCAAGCAACCTAGAAGATACAAGCTGGAAGCAGAATTCTACTTTCTGATTGCATGGTTGGGTTGGTCTTCGATCCTGAAAATGTGTCTCCGAAATGCCGGTACATTCCCATCTCAGAAGATAGTACTTCTTCAGAGCCCCACGGTCAAGAGAACCACAAATTCAACATATTTCCTTCTTCATTCGGACTGTGAAATGCTGCCGTGAAGTTTCAGCTTAACGGGAATTTAATTTCAATGGATGGTTTTTAAAACATCCTGTAGAACCCGCCTTAATGAATTCGCGACTTGTAGACCAGCCTTTCACTGTCATTTCTTTTGTCTGCTAAACAGGATATCCGCGTGAGGCAGTAACCACGGCAAGTCACTGAATTCCTTTACAATTGTGTTACACTCTCCAGAATTTAAATTCTTCGCGGCAGGGAAATATGGCTGAAACACAGAAACACCAAATAGGTTAGACACGCACGAGATATTATTTAACGACGCTGAATCACACAATTCTGCATTATAATTTAACCTCTTGAGTTTCGGGGTCACATGGTAGTGTACTTGGTTGAGGAACTATGCTACAAGCCAGAAGGTCATGGGTTCGATTCCCAATGAAATCACTGAATTATTTCAATTGACCTAATCCTTCCAGCCGCGCTATGGCCCTGCTGTCGACTCAGCCTCTAACAGAAATGAGTACCAGGAATCTTCCTGGGGGTAAAGGGCGGCCGGCGCGCAAGGCTGTCCACCTCACCGCGGCCCGGATCTGTTCATGTGAGATTTGTGGTGGACAAAGTGGCGATGGGACAGGTTTTCTCCGAGTACTTCGGTTTCCCTTGCCGATCTTCATTCTACTAATTGCTCCACAATCACCCTCACCTATCATCTGGGGCTGGGCCGCAGTATCAAAGTAAATTGAAAAAATCCAATGATCTCATCGGGAATAGAACCCGCGACCTTCCGGCTTGTAGCACAGTGCCTCAACCAACTACACTATCGCGTGCCCGCCAAACTCAAGCGGGCAAATTACGTATAATACAGAATTGTGTGGAATGGGATATGTAAGATCACTTCCAACAAAAGTAACCTTGTTACTCTGACCTTGAAACAAAATTGTGAGTGTAATCTCAGGAAGGTTAGGAGTTGCAGGGCTGGAGAGAGGGTCAAGCAGTCATTAGGCAATTACTGGTAATAGAGGTAGGCGCGGCTAGGCTGGGTTGGAGAGGTTGCTCACTCAAGTGTCTCTACAACGAACTTCAATCCCAATGACCTACTTAGGGGCAGATGACTAAATACAATTTCATATTGTCATTTTCTGGGTTATGGCATCATAGTTTGGTATCTAGTTATTAACATTTCCGAGGAACCCAAAGCTTCCTTCTTCAAGGTAGACATCTACACTGAAGACAAAAATTAAACTCTTCACCGAGTCCGCAGTGAGCACTTCAAATCTTAAAGAGAGTTAACATTTGACGTTCGAGGCACGCGGTAGCGTAGTTGGTTGAGGCACTATGCTACTAGCCAGAAGGTCGCGGGTACCATTCCCGACGACAGCATTGGATTTTTCAAATGACCTAATCCTTCCAGCCGCACTATGGCGCTGGGGTCGACTCAGCCTCTAACAGAAATGAGTATCAGGAATCTTCCTGGGGGGGTAAAGGGCGCCCGGCGCGTAAGGCTGGCAACCGCACAGCCGTCTATGACCAGACTGTCTAGAAAATGTTGGAGCCTCGACGTCTCACAACCCCATGGGTCTCTCCACGGTTGACGTTCTGACCTAGTTAGGAACCCAGTCCACGTCTTGCTGCTGTATACAATACCGGCCATCCATACCGGAAGTGATGCATAAGGAAGTGAACTAGGTGCACTCCAACACCAATTGAAGACGGCGGTGAAGACATTCTGGCGTTTGGCACGAGTTGCAAGTGCGGACAGTGGGTGTTTCCTAGGCCGGGAGAGGCAATTGGGCGCATGTATGAAAGTGAAACTTTCATGTGTGGTAATCTTGTTTGGCCCTTGCACCATTTACATCATATCCTTCTCGGCTTGGCTCTGTTTACGGGCCCCTTGGCGTTAAATGTGACCGTGACCCCCATAATCTGTTAGGAGGTGCAATCTTGTCCAGAGCTCTTACCTTATAGGACATCTCGTGGCGTGCGGTTCTGTCGGTAGGGGGGATGGGCGAATCATCTGTTCTCATGTGTTTTCGCGAGGTATATAAACCGATCGGCGAACATGTTCAGGCACGCATTCGTTTTGCAACGCAGACCGATCGCAAACCACAGCCATGTACAAACTGGTAAGTCGTTACACTTTGTGACACTAGAGGCGCTTATCATGGAGATCACTGTTTTCTGAAATGTGACGCCGTGACGTATCGGAGGAACCCCCTGCTTCAAAATAAAGGCAACTGTAGGCCAAGTTCTATTTCTCCAGGCTCGAGGAGTCAGTTTTCCAGGGAGGGAAATCAAGAATCTTGCGTTTAAGTCATGTAAGACTGATTTTACTGATCGCTGTAGAGAAATGTTTCTCAACATACGGGCCGCGACCTGGTAGCGGGCCCTCGTCTTATAGAAAAAAAATTTACCGAGACTCGTTCTGAAAAAAAAATTGAGGAACTTTGGCTTAAAGTATCCAAAACAGATAAATATAGTATTTATTTTTGGTATAAATATATTGTATATTTCCCGCTTTTGTTTAATTTCTAAATTTTTCTAAATCAAGGGGGGGGTGGATGCCAATGGCAGCAGGTTTCTCCGAAACGGCGGTGAATATCTACGAGGCTGCGATGCGATACGTTACAGAAGACAGTACTTCTCAATATTCATTGGCCCACAGCCAGGATATCTAAATGCACACGTCGATACTTATTGATTTGCATAATTTATATTTTTAACACAAAACCAGAGACAAATTCATAACATAACTACATGTGTATAATAAGTTATTTGTAAGTGTTGTGAGGTATAAGTGTGTGGGAACACTAACATACAAATTTTACAGCAATGACTTTAAAGATTACTGTCTTCTGGGTTGTGACGCCATGCAGACTGGTAGATAGTTATTGATGTTTCGAAGAAACTTCCTGCCCTCGTCTTCATGGAGGATAAAGATTGAAGCAACAGTTCCTGCTGAACATAGGCAGCGATATGCTTGAATATACGGAATCATATCTAAGAAGGCATTAGGATAATTTAAACATAAATGAGATTCGTAAGGATAACAGGAGAACAGTGTTGGTATTATTATTATTATTATTATTATTAAGTTCGGGTAAGGGAATAACACCGTTTAGAACTCAAAAAGCTGTTGTTGATGTACAGAAAAAAAAGTTTTGTCAATTGTTTTGTATGGGTGTGGAATGTGGTCTCTTACTTTGAGGGAAAAGCATAAATTATTAATCATTTTAAAAGTAATATATGGAGGAAAACATTTGGACCAACGTACAGCGAAATAAGTGAGAAATTTACAACCCTTGCATATAAACGTCCAAGAATTGGGAACCTGTCTTTTTTTCTGTCCGTGTCTAGAGGCCATTATTCTTAGTAGTAATTACGGATAGGACCGTTAGGGCGGAGTAAGACGTGCAGTGTCGTCCGTTGCGTCCATATTCGGTGGGATTGTCATTTAACGCACAGGAGTTGTTGAAAAGAAACCCTGCTAGCGGCGCTGATACTGATGACGGCCGGTAACAGATGTTCAGTCGGTTGTATCCTACACCGATTTACCCTGAATTCAGAGGACAAGAATTCCCGAAATAAGGAAGACGGACCGTGCAAGTTAGCTCAACCGATAATACATTCATCAGATCTGAACAAACCCCGAACGGTTTTCATTTGAACATTTCACACATATAAGAGAACCAACCAGGATAGCTCAGTCGATAGAGCGACAGGCTGCAGAATGGACGGCCGGGGTTCGATTCCCGGCAGGGGCAAGAGACTTTTCTCTTCTCTGTAGCGTCCAGACCGGCTCTGGAGCCCACCCAGCCTCCTATCCGATGGGTACCGGAGGCACTCTCCCCGGGGGTAAAGCGGCCAGGGCGTGATGCTGACCATTCGCCTCCATCTAGTGCCGAAGTCGAGAATGGTGGACTTATACCTCCACTGTGTCAAACGTGTTCACGGGATGGTCCTTAATTAAGAGTGGATGAGCAGGCAGTGGTGCCCGTTGCGACGTTTCAGAATAGCACGCAGCTCCGCATGAGCCGAAACAACAGCCACTGCCAGGGAGGGCCCAATCAGCCAACCACCCACTCCCACAGCTGGTCAAGTTGTGGCTAGACAATGACAGTTGTGACAGCTCTGTTGTCAGCTGACGGTAAGTCGCGTATTTCTGACGAAGTTCACTTTTATGAATACAGCCCTAACAAGAGGGCCTCCCAGCAAACTAGGAGAGGCAGAAGTTAGTTTCGGCGTTTCCTGTATAGTAGCAACAGCAGAAGTTATCTGGGTGTTTTCCGTACACTAGCAACAGCAGAAGTTATTTGGGTGTTTCCCGTATAGTAGCAACAGCAGGAGTTATTTGGGTGTTTCCCGCATAGTAGCAACAGCAGAAGTCAGTTTCGGTGTTTCCTGTATAGTAGCAACAGCAGATGTTAGTTTCGATGTTTCCTGCATAGTAGCAACAGCAGAAGTTAGTTTCGGTGTTTCCCGCATAGTAGCAATAGCAGAAGTTATCTGGGTGTTTTGTGTATAGTAGCAACAGCAGAAGTTAGTTTGAGTGTTTCCCGTATAGTAGCAACGGCAGAAGTTAGTTTCGGTGTTTCCTGCATAGTAGCAACAGCAGAAGTTAGTTTGGGTGTATCCAGTATCCTAGAAGCAGCAGTTTCGCAGTTCTGACGTATCCTAGCAACGGAGAAGATAATTTAGCTTATCCCTCACATTTTAGGAACGGCACGTTGTGTTTTCCCCGAGTGTGACAGGAACTAACTGCTACTTACACAAGAATTTTGTCATTAGGCCAGTCCAACCTGCAAGACCTAACATGGATGAAACACAGAACTCACAGCCACATCGCATGAAACATGTGTTACAGGTTCTCCTGCCCCTCTTCTTCGCCGCTGCATCGGCTGGCTACATCGGCGCACCCGCCTTCGCATCCTACGCCGCCGCTCCCGCACTTGCAGCAGCCCCCGTAGCCTATGCCGCCCCTGTAGCCTACGCTGCTGCCCCAGCTGTAGTCAAGACCGCTGTCGCCGCCCCCGTTGCCACATCTTACGCTAACACCTACAAGGTTTCCGTCAGGACTCCCGTCGTAGCTGCAGCCGCCCCCGTGGCTTACGCGGCTCCTGCTGCTATTGCCGCCCCAGCTCTTCTCAAGGCTCCCGTGGCTTACGCTGCTCCCGCTCCGTTGGCTTACGCCGCCCCCGCTGTGGTCAAGTCTGCAGTTGTTGGTGCCGCACCCTTGGGCTATGCCGCCTCCCTCGGCTATGCGTCGCCCTACGCTTATGGAATTGCTCACTAAGAAATGATCATATACTGGATGTGTATCAAACGTGTACATACTTCTGATATTTATCATTTTGTACATCCCTGTGACATCACCCGCCATGCTTTTCAATAAATGATCGACCGTATCGGAAAAAAATTATTGGTTTATTATTTATGAATGCGAAACCAAATATTTACACTACCCACGGCGTTATATCCACCCCCCCATCCCCCAGAAAATGAACTCTTCATAACCACCGTTGTCAGAACCTAAACCCTACACAACTCCCTCACTCCGTAACCGGCCAATTGATGAAGCCCCCAATCTAAAGACGGAGGATGTGATAATGCACTGCCTGCTCAGGGCTATCACACTCATCAGGGGGCGGTGAAAGATGGGTATGGAGCAATGGTGGAATCACGATTGGAATGGGAAAAGAGAACAAACTCGGAGAAAATCCTTCTCCAACGCAACTTCGTCCACCATGATTGTCACATGGAATCACCCGACATGGAACCCGAGGATCTGAGCGTCTGAACTGAGGCACAGCCCCTCTTACAGTTAAATATTATAAAATGATTTTTCCAGTTACTACCAAAACAGACATTGTGGCCAGAGGTTGCTAGGCAGAAGAGAATAAACCGTATTATTTGTTGGTGGAGATTCATAAGAGACCAAGCCAGAATACAAGAGACAGTTGTTATGAATAGGGGTTGGTCGCAATGTTATGCAGATGGATGGTGGAGAAAGTGTTCATTCTTTTCCTGACCCGACTTTAGTGTACAGATAAACTGCATGCATACAGATTAATTTCTATTGTACCTCGATATCCGTAACGAAAAATGTTTCGTATTAAATTTATAGATCTTAAAGAGGCCTGCATTTAATTCATGTAACAATATACTGTCACGTGTAGGGGTGTTGCGTGACTTATAAGACGGGTTTTGGACTGGACAACTGGATTTACTGACACCTCAAACACACGACTCGGGACTACAGGCAATTGCAGCGCTACCGCTGATCCACACACTTTACAGTTCACCGTTACACACGCATTAGGGTTCTAAGTCTTCATTAGTCGTATCCTGGCAACGGATTTATAACAGTCCCACTGTAATTTCAAATAAAATATGGAGCCTCCTTTTAACATCCTAATTCCTTTCTTGTCATTGTTCTAAATCACCTTAGATTGCCGTCTCCAGAACTCGACCCATTTTTTGGCAACTCACGGCTCCCTTGGAACTCCTCGTTATATAGTCTCGGGGCGGACCCCACGGAAAACACCGTCTTCCATTGTCCTGTATTGTTTCAGGCGTGTTTACTGATCCGCTGCTTAGCAATATATGTCCTACTGTTGTGCGCGTTGGCTGCCGCTGGAATGTGTTTACCGAGTCGTTGCCTAGCAGTGGGTCTGTACGTCACAATACTATACTCGTACGATGAATCGTTTTTGAGAAAGTTGATAAGAAATTAGTTTAGTCTACATCCCATTTCCAAAGTTCATCAATACCTGTCAGAGATAAGACAGACTTCCCCATTACGCGCTCATTTCACGAAGTTTAAGCAGCATAACCGAATCGTCCATGACTGTAACTGCAAACATCTGTTTGAGAACCGCTGACTTCAATAACATGTAATATAATACATTCAAACAGATTGCAGCGTTCTGGATTGACTTCGTGTAGTCTTGTAGATGGATATCAATGTGTCGAAGGAAAATACTGCCTCCATCTTCAGGATCCAAGCAAGTAGGGTAGGGATTTGCTCAAGTTATACACAGATTACAAGGAAGGGGGGTCACTCAGGTCCTCACACTATTCACTTGGCAGTGAAGATGGAAGCAGCATATTCCTACGAAACGTTTGTATCTACTAGATCTCAATCAGAACATGCTTATATTCCACAACATTAAATAACTTTTATGAAGTCAGGAGATCGGGCAGGCTTAATACAGCGCCCGTGCATGGCAGAGAAAAGACACGGTTCATGAGCATGCGCGTGACGGCAGTTTGCAGGCAGCACGCGAGTTCGTTTACGAAAGACGGAAACTTCTGGCCGCTTAACCCAGAGGCTTGCAGTGACTACTTAATGCGCCACGAGAAATAACGGTTTCCAAGCGACAGAAATAATTACTTCAGTTTGTTACGTATTTCGAGGTTCATAACGTAACAAAAGGTTTCTATTTAAAGTAGAATTGTCTCATGCATAACAAAGGTGTGTAACTACATGACGTAGTGGCAATTGGAAAGTCTGGTACAAAAAGTGTTGAAATGTTTTCAGTCCGTTTTCCTAACTCTACACGCAAACACGCTGTAACGGCATTGTTGTCTGTCTCTGGTTTCATAACGGAAACACAAAATTGGTGGCCATACAAATTTATGAGGTGACTGTTACTATATTTATGTGATAATTCATGGAAGAACATTCAGCTTCAAAAAAAAATTGTAGACTATAGAAGACCAAGGCGTAGATGGGTGGACAATATTAAAATGAATCTTAGAGAGATACGATGGGATGGTATGGATTGGATAGCTCTAGCTCAGGATAGGGACCAGTGGAGGGCTCTTGTGAACACGGTGATGAACCATCGGGTTCCATAAAATACTGGGAAATTCTTGAGTAGCTGCAGAATTGGCGGCTCCTCAAGAAGGGCTCAGGTCCATGCGTAAGTAAGTGATAATACATGGAAGAACATTGAGCTTCAAAAAAACTGTAGACTATAGAAGACCAAGGCTTAGGTGGGTGGACAATATTAAAATGGATCTTAGAGAGATAGGATGGGATGGTATGGATTGGATTGATCTGGCACAGGCTAGGGTCCAGTGGAGGGCTCTTGTGAACACGGTAATGAACCTTCGGGTTCCACAAAATGCTGGGAAAATCTTGAGTACCTGCAGATTTGGCGGCTCCTAAAGAAGGGCTCAGTAAGTAAGTAAAACAAAGCGTGGCGGACGCGCGAACTATTCGTATAGCATTCTATATATCATTCATATGTCACAAATTAAAAACATGACGCCACTGTGAAACCCATAGATTTACACGAGACAAAAATAACACAGAACTTGTGGACTAGTGGAACTATGTATAGAAATGGCAACTATATAGTAGAAATGTGATTATTAACATACAGTTCTTTAAGAGAGGGAATAGCTCAGTCAGTATAGTGACTGGGCCATGCGAATTCAGTCAATAATAACATTTCTAAACGCAGTTTGAACAAAAATATGCATAAATCATTTGCATTATGATACACGTAGAATGTGGGCGTAAGGAACATTGGTTGCTATGGAAACCGCTAATATGTCTATGTGTGTAATCAATTATGGTTGCTTGAATAATCCAGATCCAACATGACATTTATATCAACTGATTCAAAGGAGAAGGATCCGTCTCGAGAAGCTAATAGTGGCTCACCCGATCAAAAAGATTTTCTAAACATTTTAGGAAACCCGAAAATTCATTATTTTTTCACAACCGCCCACTACTGGTCATTATCCTCCGCTATCTGAATCCGGTTTACACACCCATCCTACTTCCTTAAGATTCGCTTTAATATTATTCTCCAATCTGCGCGTACGTCTTCCAATTTGTGTCTTTTCTTCAAGTGTCTCTATCGAAAACTTGATACCCATTTCCCTTCCTTCAAATGCATGCTACATGTCCCATCTATATGAGAAGTCTCGATTTGATCTTCCTGATTCTTTCCTTCTTTCCTCCCTTTTTGCTTTCTTTCGCTATTTCTTATTACTTTCCTGTGCATTTCATGTCACGCCTCTTCGCCTTCTGCCATTACCTCGAGCAGTTGGCGATCATTAAGTACAAAAAAAAAAAGTAAAGCTATCCTTGTAACAGGCCGTGGAGGCCCAGAAGGTTGTGAGACGTCGAGGCTCCCAGATTTTCTAAACAATCCGCTCACAGATGGTGGTGAGATTTTCAACCTTACACGCCGGCCACCCTTTAGCCCCCAAGAAGATTCCTGCTACTCATTTCTGTTAGAGGCTGAGTCAACCCCAAGGCCATAGTGCGGCTGGAAGGATTAGGCCGATCTCATTGGGTGGAAATTAAGAGTGCAATAACTTCTGAAGGGGTTGCTGAATTGAATCAAAATTTTTTCAGATATTTCAGAACGAAAGAACGGACGAGCTGCAGAACCTTTATCCACTTTGTACCATTTTTAAGTCACCTCCTATACATCCTTAATTAATTCAGTGTTAAAAAAGTATAAACCGGAGAATTATAATAAATACATTTTACCATCAAATTGAATCGCTGTGGAGTGTTGCATGGTGCATGACCGTCAATGCGACCTTCGAGACAGACTCAGTCCTTTACCAGCTGAGTTACATAACTTAGAAAATCCCATAATCACAATAATCTCACCCATTCACTCATGGAGCTGAGCCCTTCTTGAGAAGCCTCCAATTCTGCAGCTACTGAAGAACTTCCCAACATTTTATGGAACCCGACTGGTTCGTTACCGTGTTCATAAGAGCCCTCCACTGGTCCCTATCCTGAGCCAGATCTATCCAGTCCGTACCATAATTTCTATCTCTCTAATATTCATTTTAATATTGTCCACCCACCTACGTCTTGGTCTTCCTGGTGGTCTCTTTACTATCCATTCCTTTTCTCCACCATTCGTGCTACATGCCCTACTCATCTCATCCTCCTTGACTTAATCATTCTAATTATACTTGGAGAAGAGTACAAGTTATGAAGGTCCTCATTATGCAGTTTCCTCCAACCTCCTGTCACTTCATCCCTCTTCGGTGCAAATATTCTCCTCAGCACCCTGTTCTCAAACACCCTCAGGAACCACAATAATCTACCCTGACATATTTCCATTCACAGCCCCGCTAACGCGGCCCAAGCAGGTGCTCGGGTTGACTTCACCAGTTATAGCTATTGCACGTGACAAATCTTTTCGGAAAAATAACATGCGAATACCTGGCTGAAGCGCAGTTGGTTGAGGCACTGTGCTACAAGCCGGAAGGTCGCGGGTTTCATTCCCGATGAGTTCACTGGATTTTTCAATTGACCTGATCCTTCCAGCCGCACTATGGCCCTCGGGTCGACTCAGCCTCTAACAGAAATGAGTACCAGGAATCTTCTGGGGGNTAAAGGCAGTCCACCGCCATCTGTGAAGTAAATTTTCTACCAAATATGGGAGCCTCAATGTCTCACAACCCTATGGGCCTCCACAGCCTGTCTCAGGGATGGGACGCAAGTAGGCTCATGACGCTGCTCTTCATGAGATACGTGACATAACCTATTGCACCGCGTCCAGTTGTAGGGCGCGGGGCCATCTTCCCTCCCACTCATGATACAGTTGCAGGCACAGTGGCTTCCCAGCAACCCACAGTACAGCCCTAAAACACGGCTGGCCTGTTCATAATGAACTACGTCCGATCACAAGAACGAAATGACAATGGTTGAAAAGCGAATGGCTCGGTACTCAAGCTAATGATCAGTATGGACGTGAACAGATGTCCAACTTTCACCTTCTTTGTGTCTGCCTTAATAAGAGAGGTTCGAGGCCGACCTTTATGACGTTTGGGTTCTTGTGAAGCTCTTAGCAGCGGGCACAAAGAGATATCAAGTCAAACATTGTCACAATGAATGTCTGGTTCTCAAAACAAATAGAGCCTGTATCCCTGAACACGATTGATCTTTTAACGAGTTCCGCGTGTTTTGTTCGAGTTTAATTACTTACTTGTTGATATATTATTTAATATTTTATCAATTTATTTAGTAATTTGTTTAATGTTGTCACCTGATTGAGTGACTACAGACGGGGTATGGATTGGTAATCGGATTTATTGAATGCTTACAGCTCGTAACTAGAAGTAAGGATTATGCTTTCAGTTCTACACACTTCACTAAACGCTGTAGGACACACTGTGTCTTCTCATTCTATTATAGTCTTCATTAGCCGTCTCTTGCTAGCGGCTTCCAACGGCGGACCTTCCCCTTCCTCTGGACTTCCGAACTGTCCCCGTGCCTCAGCTATCAGCTTCTCACAGCGACTGAACTGCAGCAGTCCTCTAACTAATTCACTATTGTTGTTGTTGTCATTGGAGGGGGTGGGTTTCCCCATGCACGGCGACCAGTTTTATCTATTGTGCGTCCCCCTATGATCTTCTACCAGCCTCTATACTCTACCGGTACTGGTGCTAACCATCAGTCCCTACTCAGCCAGCGAGGTCGGCCTCTACTGGCTCAGAAGTATCTCGATGCTTCCCCCATCTACCAGAGGCGTTAGAGACTACTGTTGGGCGGGAAATGTCCTTAATTTAGCTCAGTGGCCTCCTTTGGAGACATGAGGTTCTTTTACGTGCCGTAAAGCTACGACACGGAACCCACGGCTTTAAGTCCCTCCCGGAGGACTTGTTCCCTGAATTTTTCCGGCCTTAAAAATTCCACGACATCCGCCGGGTTTGAACCCGCGTACCTTGAGTCATGAGGCGGGAACGTTACCCCTAGGCTACGGAGGCCGCTAACTAATTCACTAACTCACCAACTAACTCCTCACGCCTAACTCGTCCTGTTTATAATATATCTGCACGGACGCCACAGAAAACACGATTCCTCTGTTGCTGTTTACAAGGCGCTACCTAATAACGGTAGTTGTACAAGGTGTGGCAATAAAGAACCCGGATTACTTTTATGACTCATTTCCGGCCACGTCATTGACGAAGAGGAGGGTAGGGCATTGACCATTGGACTTCCCTCTACCGTCACACAAAGTTTCATTCACGTGCATCGGTTAGTCTGGCCGCGACCATTGTTAGAAGCGGATCGTGTTTCTGAGCTCCGTCGGAATAATGCTGAGTGCTAATGCAGAACAACGTGCTAACATCAAATTCCTCACAAAACTTGGAAAATCTGCCACTGAAACTTACAATTTGTTGACAGAAGTATATGGTGATCAGTGTCTATCTCGCACGCAAGTTTTCGAGTGGTTTAAGAAGTTTATGGAGGGTAGGAAAAACGTCGGGAACGATCCAAAATCGGGCCGTCCTCCCACTGCGAAAACTCCAGAGAATGTGGAGAAGGTCGCTAGAATTGTTCGAAGAGATCGTCGACTGAGCATTCGAGCAATTTCTGAACTTACGAACATCAATAAGGAAAGTGTTAGACAGATTTTGCACGACGATCTGGGCATGAAAAAGGTGTGTGCTAAAGTGGTGCCAAAAATCCTTACCCCCCAGCAAAAGGAACATCGAGTGAATTGCTGTGTTGACACTCTTGAAAACATTGAAAATGATCCTGATTTCTTCCAAAACGTAATTACGTGTGACGAAACTTGGATTCTTCAATATGATCCAGAGACTAAGCGACAATCCATGCATTGGAAGAGCCCCAAATCCCCTAGGAAGAAGAAAGCGCGCATGAGCAAGTCCAAATTCAAAGCAATGATGATTGTTTTTTTCGATATCCGGGGGGTAATCTACATTGATTGGGTGCCTGAAGGTCAGACTGTCAATCAGGTTTATTATAAAAATGTTTTGACGTACCTCCGTGAACGTGTGCGACGAAGGAGACCAGACATGTGGAAGAATGCCTCATGGGTTCTTCATCACGACAACGCGCCAGCACACAACGCGCTATCTGTGAAGAGGTATTTGGCAAAAAACAACATTCCAGTGATGGAACATCCACCGTATTCTCCGGACCTAGCACCGTGCGACTTTTTTCTCTTCCCAAAAATCAAGTCTGCGCTGAAAGGGACCAGGTTCGAGTCCGTGGATGCAGTGAAAGCAAAAGCGACGCAACTCTTGAAGAGCATAACACAAGATGACCTGCAGCACTGCTTCCAACAGTGGAAAATTCGCATGGAGCGGTGTAGGGATCGGGGAGGGGACTACATTGAAGGGGATAACATTTCGACTGTCTGATTTTTTTTTAATAAAGGGTTAGAGCATGAATCCGGTTTCTTTATTGCCACACCTATAGTTGCTTATTTTGCGGTTGCTGTCTGGCAACAGGTCTACGTGCTACAATACTTTATGTAAGTCACACTAAGCAGAATTTTGGCATGTAGCGGGACAGTGGTTGCTTCTGTACTATGAGGATGGAGAGTGATCCACTGAAATGGCTAGAAGATAGCAGTCGTGGCACAGTTTAAGTTAATACCCTGACAGCTACTTGGATGAACTGAGGAAAACCACAAAATACCTCAATCAGGACAGTCGGTGACCCAGCCGGGATTCAAACTACATACTTCATGAATACAAATCAGTAGCGTTACCGTTTGAGCCAAGATGATCGGTGATTTTTCCCTGAGGAAGGAAGCTAATTTAAATATTATCTTCCTTAGATGAGATTTGTGTTTCAGGTACAGACACATGTTACAACGGAGACATTTCTACACGCTAGAAGTTGTCCCCTTTCAGGCAATTCTCGTTTTTAAATGAGATCAAACAGCTTTACCAGGTCGCCCGGCTGTCTTTCTGTATACCTGTGTAAGCCACGCCTTCTTAACTTCAGAACCAGACGGCAGATATTCACGAAACTTTGTACGAACATTAGACGCAAATCTATGCCATCCCAACGCAATACTTAAAAAGATAAAGTTGTCCCTGCGCTTAACTAATTTAGCACTACACCATGAAGGCGTATGAGAGAGTGGATGTACAGATCCACCATTCTTGACCTCGGCACACCCCTGCCACTTTACCTCTCGGGAAAGAGCTCCGGTACCCATTGGACAGGAGGTTGGGTGGGCCCCAGTATAGATCAGGGCGCTGTGGAGATGAGAAAAAGAAAGCGGTTATCATAATATTAAAAAAAATTAGGAAGTCTGAGGTGGGAACTTAATTGAGGGCGCTCAATATTTGTTTGTGGTTTACTTGACAACGCTGTCAGCGTCCAGGCTACATAGCGTCGAATGGTAAGATGGCAGATGCATGAACTGGAAAGGATCTGAAAGGAAGCGGTGTTCAGGTATTTGCCTGAGGGGACCCGGGAAAGCCATAAGAGAAACTTAAGATGGTCAATGTTTCGGCCGAGATTCGAACCCAGCACGTCTCGTTTACAAATCTAGAGCGTTACTGACACTACAACCCGTTCGGTTAAACAAGTCCCATAGCGCAATTGAAGTAATTAGTAATAAGCAGGGCCCGGATTTTTATGACCTGAAAATGTTTAAAAAATGACCTATAAAATGACCGAAAAAATCCAGAAAAATGACCTATAAAATGACCTAAAGGAGAAGAGAAAGAACACTTCGTTTCCATGTTATTCACATCTCAGAAAACATATGAAGAAAAATGCCTAAAATGGCCAGAAATGACAAGAAATACCCTTAAAAGTCCAAAAATTTACCAAAAAAATACCCCCAAAATGAAAAAATGAACTTAAACCTAAAAATGTCAAAAAATGACAAAAAATTACCTGTAAAATTTACATTTCCGTAACCAGCAGCTCATATCCGAGATATATATATATTTAAAAGCATCGCATAGGATACAAGGGAAAAAAATGACATGTCATCAAAATCCGGGCCCTAGTAATAAGACTGAAGGTTTCCTTAGCGAAGCTCGTCGCTTGCATTCAGTGATGGGGGTTGCCCTTGCAGCAGAATGGTGACGGGCAGTGTGAGAGGCGTCCCTGACCGCCATTAAACAGCATGGGAAATGAGGGAGGAGGGAGGATGAAGCAGGAGGTATATATAAGTTGAGACTGCAATGGATCTTCAGCATTCGGTTGCAACGAGACGGAACCAAGCTGTCAACATGTACAAACTGGTAAGTCAGCAGCACCTGTCGCGTGTCTCAAGCAGATACAGGCACTTATAAATCGCTGATTCCCTGGGTGGGCTCTAGTGAACACCGCAATCGGCCTTCTCGTTCCATAAAAGGGTAGGAATTTCTTAGCCTTTTAAAGACAGAATTTCTGAATTAATGTTAAGTACACAGCTTTCTAAATAATATATAGCAATTCAGTCCGTACCTCGCAGGAAACACATTACGTCTCCGTTACAAAGCCCAACCGGTTAATGCTGTTTAGGGAAACAGTCGCTGTTTATTGTGAGAACCATACGGAACACACAGATACACTGAGTGGACTGAATGAAGAGTTTCGGTATATTAAAGCAGATGGTATGTATAGTAACCACTCTGCTTCAAAGTGTTAACCGAGTGATTATACGTGTCTAAGAGACAGTTTGTTAGGTAGGGCACTCTTACGAACAGGGTCACGAACCTTCGAGATACGAGTATAATGGGGGTTCTAAGGAAGGACTCTCAGCTTCTTGGAGTTTGTTGTTGACCAACGACGGGTTCTTGTGAACTCAACAGTGAACCTTCGGGTTCCACAGAATGCTGGAAACGTCTTTAATTGCCGAGCAACTATTAGCTTTTCAGAAGAGGACTGTGTTCCATGTAAGACGGACGCTTTGCCTGGCGGGTGGCTGTTAATGCTCATGTAGGGATTCGGGTCCACAAGTTAAGTAGGTTTATTTTCTGGTGTAATTCAGAAATTTTGCAGCTGTTTAAACAACACGACTTTTCAAAGACGTGATGAAGTAAAGTAGAATTAACGTACTGAACTTAGTGGGTTACGCATCTGTGAACATGAAGATTAACTTCCGAAAATTCCGACAAAATTTCGATCGTAAAGCTTGAATGGAAGAATCCTGTTGGGAGACCAAACCGTAGATTTGACGATAACACTAAAACACATATATTTAAATAATAGAATGAAGTAAAGCTATCCCTGTAACAGGCCTTGGAGGCCTATAGGATTGTGAGACGTCGAGGCTCCCACATTTTCTAGACAATCGGCTCACAGATGGCAGTAAAGTTGTCAGCCTTAAACGCCGGTCGTCCTTTACCCCTAGGAAGATTCCTGGTACTCATTTCTGTTAGAAGTTGAGTCGGCCCCAGGGCCATAGTGCAGCTGGAAGGATTAGGTCAATTGAAAAAATGCAATGACATCATCGGGAATCGAACTCGCGATCTTCCGGCTTGTAGCATAGTCTCAACCAGCATTGTTGAAGACAGCAACAAATCATTATGTTNGGGGGGGGGGGGTGACAGGTAGAAAAGTTATCCAAGACCCAAGTAATGCTCACTTGTCTCGGTGTTCGTGATCGAATTTCTAGATTCATGTTAGATAACAAGTAGACAATGGCCGAGGAATTTTTATTTTCTTATTAATTTAAGAGTTCCATAGAGACTTCTGCCTTCTTGATATAACATTGTGTAGTCCGTTGAAAGTGAACCGACGTTTCGGTGGAATATGTCGCCTTCATCTTCATGGTTGAAGAAGCAACAAAGAAACCAGCATGAAGCCGGCAGAAAGCACGTAGTCCTGACAGAATTCTTCATAACAACCTCTGTGAGAACTTTCAATCCAATGAGACTTGCATGATTTTGGGACGTCCAGAGCAAGGGGTTTAATTCTGACGAACCTAAATCTGTGATGGGAGGGGGAGGGGGGCTGCATGATAAGCGGGCAGTACCAAATGGAAAACTTGCGAACCATCTCCACATTTGCTTGACGACAGAGGAAAACCACAAAAAATTCTGTGTATAGATGGCAAATCGCAGGAAGTGCTTAAATTATATTTCAAACGTCAGTTCTTATCTCGCACAAAACACTGCACTTCTATAAGATCAAGCAGTAAATGAAGTAGTATACTAACAGTCAATAAGTTCGTGGAATGGCCGCAAAGCGTCGTTACAGTACACTACAGCGGAACACATTCCACGAACTTATTGACTCTACCACCTATTTATTTCACGATGTGTTCAATATCTAGGCTATATACGACAGAATGGCAGAATGACTGGTGAATAATTAATTGAAATGGATTTGGAAGGAAGCGGTCATGGACTATTCGAGACACTTATCTGACGTTTGCTGACAAAAGGCACTAAAAACTCAGAATAGCCTTTTCGGCTATACCAGTCTGGCATGCCAACCCGCTCCATGTAGCATCTTTATTATAATATAAGTAGCAAGCTTGAAGACGGGGACTTAGGCGTTCGCAATGACTAACGTCACACTCAGTCATTTCAGGCACGAAGCGGGTCAAGGAGAAAGGGAAGATGGTTGAAGAAAGTATTTGCTGACCAGTGACGTAACAGAATAGCCTACATAACCTAGTGATGACACTGTTTCGACTAAACCTGGCTAACCCCATCCTCAACGCGAAGTGACTCAATATTTATACGTGTTGCCAGTACTCCTGGCCGTGTGGAAGCGAAGATACTTTAAAGTACAAGAGGCCTTCACGCTTCAAAACACAATGGTTACTATATATACTGCCCATTTTAAAGTTAAAAACTTTGAATTCTGCCGCGCAGTGTATCTGTGTGTTCCGTATGGTTATCACAATAGACAGCGAGTGTTTCCCCAAACAGCATTAACCGGTTGGGCTTTGTTATGGAGACGCATTGTGTTTCCTGTGAGGTACGGACTGAATCGTTATATATTACTGAAAAAATGTTGAAAGTGAAGTTCTCACGGCGGCTGACTATGAAGAGTACCATCTTCTGGCACGTGGCGCCGTACAACCATGTAGAATTTAACCGACGTTTCGGAGGATCATACTGCCACCATTTTCAAGGTCGAAAAATAAGCCAAACAAGCAGTACGTGAACTTCCGCGAACTTCTACCAGACTACATGGCATGAAAGAATTTCTATCCGAAAGGTTTAGCGAGAATATTCCTCAGAAACGCTGGTAACCGAAATTTTGGTAATCATCTACCAGAATGCAAGGGTTTCATATCACAAACCATAAATGTGGAAGCAGTTACCTCTCTTCAAAATGTTGGTACAAGACTAAACGGTGGCTCTATATTTTTATCCTGCAGACTACAGAGTATCAGGTTCTAGAAGACCGATCTTCGAGCCGACCGCGGTGAGAACCTCAAATCTCACATATTCATGAAGATTAATCCCTTCTTATGTGACACGGTGTAATTTTGTATATCGTCACTAATGTTTCAGAGGAACGTGCTGTGTCCGTCTACAATTCTCTTCTACCAGAATACATGGTGTCGCCGCTGTGAGAACCTCACGTTTCTAATCTTTTCTTTCAGATCCTTTTGCCCCTCTTCTTCGCTGCTGCTTCCGCCGGCTATTTGGGTGCTCCCGCCGTGGCCACCTATGCTGCCGCCCCCATTGCGGTTGCTGCCCCCGTGGTTGCCGCCCCCGTCGCTGTGAAGGCTGTAGCACCTGTCGCCACATCATACGCTAACGTTCACAAGGTCGACATTGCCACCCCCATCGTGAAGACTTATGCAGCTCCCGTGGCTTACGCAGCCCCAGCAGTCGTGAAGGCACCCATTGCTGTTGCCGCCCCTGTAGCTGTTGCTACACCTGCCTTGCACGCCGCCCCCTTGGCTTACGCCTCCTACGGATACCATGGCTAAGAATTCAACTGGACTGGGTGGATTCTGTCATTGTCGTTTATTTAATGTTACATCAGCACCTGCCATGACAATAAAACACGCATTTGTATAAAACACTTGCTGTATCATTCCTCACAGTGGGCTGATCATTCAGATGGAACTGTGTAACGCTTCCAAGTTAAATCAAAATCAGAATTACTTTACGACTGGCGGCTTACTGCCAAACAGTTCGTATTGGGGTCAAACCCCTTGAAATCCACGATCTGAGATTTTTTTTTTTTTGCAACTGAACGTCCTTATATAACATCCTCTGTGACGAGAAGATGGTGTTGTGTCTTATGAATACTCTTGGCCTTCGTCAAGTGTACGTATCGCACTTATAGCGTGTTATTGAAAATTCTTCCTTTTGCACTTTTTCCTTCTGTCAGTACAGGCTTTGCAAAGCAGATCATGTCTATCTTACGTATCTTATGCTACAACGGCAGCTTAGTCACTTGAACGGTCGTAAGCTTGTCCATCGCTTTGACGCATAGAATTCGTTTCAACTGACACGATCCGTGGTCACCTTTCAACTGTAATCCCTGAAGGTAACAGGACCCGAGCTCTCGAAACACAAGAGTAGATTCCTCATTTATCTGTATTCTGACTCTGTCAATCGTATGGTATTCTAAAAGAAACAACAAAATAACACACTGTTTCGCAAAATTGATTAATTTCCGTTCTCAGGTGAGGGGAAGGGAGACATGTACTCTGTTAGGCCCGTTAAAAATAGCTAACCTCAATATTTCTGGAGGACACAAAATTTGGGTGTCTCCCTCCCATTCATCTAAGAGCGGAAACAGATTCAGTTTCCGAAACGTCGTGTTCTTCTGTGATTTTTAGTATACGGGACAAGTGGCGAAGTCAAAACCCAAGTAGTTTTGAGTGTTATAACACCATCGTCAGAAGCCCCCTAGAATTTGTTCCCTTGTCTTTCATTTTACGATACCGCAAATATCTGAGATCATATACACTCGAATGACATGACTGACGAATAATGAATTAGAAAGAATTTGGAACAGGTCGTATTACTACCCTGGGCGTTTGTCTGGTAGAACTGAGGAAAACCATGAAGAAACTCAGGATAACCTGCGTCCCGGGAGACAGTCTAACCGAGTGCCTTCTGAATACAAGTCTACACTGTAACCGCTACACCAACCTGTGTAATGACAAAGGAGTTGTTTCTTCCTGAAAAAACATTAATCCACTGTAACACCAGAAAAAAAAATAGGGGCTGATTCCTCACTTCCTGCATTCCGTTCACAAGGGCCCTCTCTGTTCCCATTTCTGTTTACTCCCGTGTGAAGAAAACCCTCAAAACAGTCGCTCCCCCACTCACTGGTCAGCAACGCACATTTCCCTCTCCCTCCCCTGAGTTCGAGTGCACATCTTCCGTGAAACCTGCCTATATCATTACCATACACACTTTTCTTTTGAAGATGGAAGCAATATGTTCCTCCGAAACGTCAATATCTACTCTTACCTACAAAGCTGCACTGTATTACAACTAAGAAGACCACAACCTGAATAATCACTGCAGTGAAAATGTGAACAAAAAAAGGCTNAAAAAAAAAAGCTACTTAAACCACTGGCTTTCTATGACGGCTAGATGACGTCACAGAATGAAACTCGAGGTAGTTCACTTAATGGACAACATATGTCGCTGGAGCCGATTGTCTAGAAAATGTGGGAGCCTCGACGTCTCTCAACCCTATGTTCCCCCAAGGTCTGTTACAAGGATAACTTTACCCCTCTTATCGAGCAGTGAAATTGGAATGTCAATGGTTTAAAAATTAAATTTCTACCCCAGAGAAGACACTAGGAAGCCAATACAAAGACCAATAGGTTAATGCCGATTAGGAAGTAATTCTGTTTATTCTGAGAAACACGAGAAAGTACGGTGCAGGGAAATGCGGCTTGTACGCACAGCAACCGCCGTGCTTCAGAGGGACAAATATTTATGAAAAATTAAATGAAAAATTTTAAATGTACATTTACTTGTATAATTAGAATGATGAAGTCAAGAAGAATGAGATGGGCGGGGCATAGAGCACGAGTGATGGAGAAGAATACATGTAAGATATTGGTTGGAAAACTTGAAAGNTTGGAATGTCAATGGTTTAAAAATTAAATTTCTACCCCACAGAAAAGACACTAGGAAGCCAATACAAAGACAAATAGGTTAATGCCGATTAGGAAGTAATTCTGTTTATTCTGAGAAACACGAGAAAGTACGGTGCAGGGAAATGCGGCTTGTACGCACAGCAACCGCCGTGCTTCAGAGGGACAAATATTTATGAAAAATTAAATGAAAAATTTTAAATGTACATTTACTTGTATAATTAGAATGATGAAGTCAAGAAGAATGAGATGGGCGGGGCATAGAGCACGAGTGATGGAGAAGAATACATGTAAGATATTGGTTGGAAAACTTGAAAGAAAGAGGTAGCTAGGAAGACCAAGACGTAGGTGGGTGAGTAATGTTAAAGTGGATCTTAGAGATATAGGATGGGGTGATACGGATTGGATTGATCTGGCTCAGGATAGAGACCAGGGGGGTTCATGTGAATACGGTAATGAACCATCGGGTTCCATAAATTTTTAAGAAATTCTTACAACTGACGGCTTCTCAGTAAGGGCTCGGCTCCATGCAGTTAGTACAAGTTATGAAATTAATACACACACCATTCACAGAGGTATTTTAGGGCAACAATGTGGCAACATCTAGCGACGGGTGGAAGAACTTCTTGGACTCTTACGGTGGGGTGAGACTTCGTCACCTGACGCTAATTCCGTAAATGCCCTAATCACTATACAAGATGTTCCATTTAAAACTCAACCCAAACTACAAGAGTATATGCAAGCTTACAGGTAACGCAAATGTTGCCGTCTTAGTCAGCATCTCCTTGTCGGGTAAACATTCCTAAATACTTCAAGAACAAGAGCAAACAATTTCGATGCGACGTAATGTTCTGGAACGAACACATGCGCAGAGCATCTGCGCAACTGGCGACAGCAGCAGCCTAGCAACCAGGGAGACTGACTGGGGTGTCACGAGGCTAGATGGGAAAGTCCATTGCACGGGGCGACCAACATTTGATTTCATTTCTGTACCGCAGTACATGAATGCACTGATCACAGTGACCGCGTGCTCTAAGGCGTCAACCGTCTTCGCCCGCTCGAGCACTCGGATCGTGGGTTCGAATCCCATTTCAGGCATGGATGTCCGTGTTCATTTATTCTGTTTGTGTTGTCCTGTGTGTAGGTAGCGGGCTTCCGACGGGCTGATTCTCCGTCCAAGGTCCAACAAAGGGTTGTAGAGCCATAGATATATAATACATGAATACTGGGCTGCGTTTAAGTGATACACCCTGCACCAGCACCGAACGAAAGATAACAGATATGAAACTGGAGAAACCTGTCCCAGTGCCACTTTGTCTACATTAAACATATCACGTAACCTGATCTAGGATTGAAACCGGACCGACGAGGCAAGAAGCCGACTACTGATCTCCTCTGGTATGGAGTGACCTTAAAAGAACAAGTTAATAACGTCTCAACGGCTTCATTCCATTTTTTTCCCTCTGCTGAGGTCACGACTTCAAGTATTGTATGACCTTCTTTGGTAGCAACGTGTAACGAGGCATTGTCAGCTGTCACGGTAACCGAGCCGTCACACTCGATGTATGCAGACTAGGTAGCATTGCCCTTCCAAAAGGAGAAGAGTTAATCGACTCGAGCTACAGTACGCCAAGTGCCGAGCGCATCATTAATCCTCCACCGCACAACGGAAACTCTCTTCTCAATTTTTACTAAGTTGGTGATGTGTTTCGACATAAATTGTCCATCTTCAGAAAATAATCTAACACAAGCGCATACTTTGCCGTAAAAAGGTAAAGTCGTCCCTGCGCTCAACTAATTAAGCGTCATGAAGACGTATGGGGGACGGGATGTATAGATCCATATTTTCTTGACCTCGGCACTAGCTGGAGGTGAGTGGTCAGCGTCACGCCCTAGCCGTTTTACACCCGGAGAAAGAGCCTCCGCTACCCATTCGATGGGAGACTGGACGGACCCTAGAGCCGGTCTGGACGACGTCGAGTAAATTCTTTACACAACCAGGACTCGAACTCCGACCCCTCGGTCGTCCAGCCTGCAGCCAGTCGCTATACTCACTCAGCTATCCCGGCTCCAAGGAACATAGAGGCTACATAAATTATAACGGGAAAGTTGTCTTTGTGTTTCATTAAGCACCACGCCATGACGACGTATGGAGAAAGAGAAACATAGCTCCAGGCATTCTTAATCTCTGCACACTACAGAGATGAGGACTCAGCTTCACGCCCTGGACGTTTTAACCCCACTGAAAGGGCCTCTTATGCCAAATGGGCTAGGTAGACCCCAGAGCCGGTTTCGACTCAGTGGAAAAGAGATATGTTGTCCCTGCAGGGTACTGAAACCCGAGTCCTCAGCCTGTATCACGTAGCTATACCGACTGAGCTACCCTAGCCGCTGAAACAGTGTTACACCACTACCCGCTGACGTACTCGCGTTCGCAAGGAAGTTTCAAGGCGCTAGATCCACTCCCAAGCATTTGGCAATGCGAAAACTTCCCATGCCCACTTGTTGACCAACTTCGTGACTTGACCCCCCGTGTGATGTCCCTGACACCCATCTGTCTGTCCCACGGTCAGCAAAACAGCAAACGCTCATATATATCATAAGATATGTTGAGTCGGCACACAAAATCTGAGCGGTTAAATTATGTCACATGCGTCACTGATTGCTGACGATTCTAATGAGTAATAACAAACGCTGTTACACTGTGAGCAGGCGCAATTCGTTCCCTATCTTTCACAATGTCTGTCTCTTTTTCTTTCAGTAACGGTGTTCACCCGCTCAGATTTTGTGTGCTAATTCTAGCTACCAGCCGTTAGCTGTCTGAAAGTGAAGTGAATCATCGGTTCACGAAATTCG